TATTATAACCAAAATCACAACAACCAAACTTGCGAAACCCAAATAAATTGGTTCGCAACTCCGTTGAGCTTGTGTGACATAGGAACAAAAATCTCGATTTCTTTTGCTCTATGGCACTTCGAGCTCATTAAAAGGTGTGGTTATGTCTCTTGGCTTTTAATCTCCTCAGCCTCAAATGAGGGAAAAAGGGGAAAGCAAGCAATGGAGATGGTTGCAGAGGGGGCGACATTATTGGTGGGTTTTTTGGGTAAAAAATTGAAGAAATCAGAGGAGGCGAGGAGCAGGGGCTAGATTTTTTAGAGAAAAGACGAACAGTAGAGCAGGATTTTTGAGAGGAAAACGACACCATTTGGTTTAAGACTCCAATTTTTTTAAGGTAAGATTGACGTCCACTTTTATCCATATTTATTATATATATATATATATATTTTTTTTTTTGGTTTGTATGAAACAGTGAGTTTTGGGATTGGGTTTGGGTTGGAATAATTAGTGGGCTCCATATTGGGTATGGGCTGGATTTATGGTTTTAACTTGATAAATTTTGCCCTCACTCTTTGAATTTCCTCAATTGAGTCCTTTTCTTTCAACTTCTTTTCTAATCCTCTTCACAAAATCCCCTTTTTGCTCACGAACCTAACGATGAAAGCAAAACAAAACATATTAGTTAAAATACAGATAAAAAACTAAAAATAAAAATTTTATTAAAATTTGAATTATGGCAGTTGTTCATCTTCCCTTTTCTTTCTATTCTTTTCTTTTTATTAAGAATGAAATGAAAAGAAAAGATAAGAATAACTCAAATTTTTAACAGTTGAGCGACTAATCAAGTAAAGTAAAAATTGGTTGAATGATCAAATAGGTAAAGTAAAAACGGTTAAGCAATTGCAACCATTGAATGACTAAACAAGAAGATTAAAAACAATTAAGAAACCACAATGGTCGAATAACCGAACAAGCAAAGTGAAAACAGTTAAGAAACCGCAATAGTCGAATGATCGAACAAGTAAAAATGGTTAAGAAACCATAACAGTCGAATGACCACACAAGAAAAGTAAAAATGATTAAAAAACCACAACGGTCGAATGATCGAACAAGAAAAGTAAAAATAGTTAAGAAAGTGCAATGGTCGAATGACCAAACAAAAAAAGTAAAAATAGTTAAGAAACTACAACAGTCGAATGATTGAACAAGTAAAGAAAAAACGATTAAGAAACCATAATCGTTGAATGACCGAATAGAAAAGTAAAAATGGGTAAGAAACCGCAACAATTGAATGACCAAACAAGTAAAGTAAAATCGGTTAAGAAACCACAACGGTTGAATGATCGAACAAGTAAGGTAAAAACGGTTAAGAAACCTGTCACGCCCTAAAACTGGGAGTGAAACAGATGCTGTACACTTGTGAGAGGATCCCACAAATGCACAAGGTTCTAAACTTGCTAAATTCATAACTAACAATCCACATAAACTTAGATCAATCTCTCAAAATAAAATCTAGCTTACAAAGGAATGATCAATGACTAGCCTTCTAACTCGTCACTCCCTTTGGTTTCCCACGTCTCAAGTCTCACTACCCGAAATAGTGGACGAGAAAAAACTATGTAAGATAACTCAGTAAGTAAAAATATAAGTAGCCCTTATTTAAAGTTATAGCATGCCAACAAGTGTAATCAAGTATCCAGAAAAAATGGTACAAGTATAGAAACGAAATAGACGTTTCCTCTATAGGTCATGGCTGACATTTATAAACTCCTAACTGACGGGCACAATAATAACCAATTTAGTATCCCACTGGCAAGAATAATAGAACAAACCGGTTTCCAAGAATACATGTTGACATGTGTTAGTGTTTATAAACCTCCCACTAGCAAGCATAGTAAAACATAACCATATTAGAGACTAAACCAGGCAAGAGTTATAGGATAATCCATAGTTTACAAACCAATTTCAAGTTATCAAAACAGTATAATAAACTCCAAGTAGGCATGCTCAAATCAATAAAAAAAAAAACAATAACAATTTCATTTCAAACCAATCATACTCGTTTTGGTATAAAATAGGTTTAGTCCTACCACCACTTCAAAAAAAACATTTCAAGATATGCTGGAAAAACCTTTACCTTAAAATTCAAGGACATTTACCATAATTTTACTTACCTTGCCTTGTAGGAGATTAACAACCCCCAAACAGATTTTTTGGATAGAATAAGGTGGAAAAATGGGAGAAACCGAGCTCAATAACATCCTAGACACTAGCAGAAATATTGGGTAGTGAAGTGGGGGGTTTCTGCCATTTAAAGTAGTCCCAAAATACTTGAAAAAAACCCTAAAAAATAGGGATTTTTTGGGCAAAAGATAGTAGTAAAAACATGGTAGATTATAGGCCAAAACTGGGCAACATTCAAGCAAAAATGCAGTAGCAAAAAGGCAGCCAATTTAAACCAATAACAAGGGATTTTAGAGCAGGAAAACAACAATCAAAGGTCCAGTAAAACCATAATGAAATATGGCAGTAGGTACAGTGAGAATAAAGCAGAAAACATAACAAATTTCTGGGTATTTTTTAGAGTAGTTCTGGCAAATTTCGAACTGTACACAATTCACACCAGAAATTGACCAATCTAGGCTGAGTGACCAACAGATAAATTGTAGCCCTATATCTTAGTGTTCTATAGCCTCAAGAATCACTTCAATCCGACATTTACAGAGAAAGTTATGGCCAAAATACTGACTTAGGGTTGGGCTGCCAGTTAAGTCTGTCAACGGGAATCAAACTTGCAACAAAGTTTTCACCATGAAATAACTTAACTGGGTTAAATGTCCAATATAAAAGTTTTAGGCCTATCTCTTAGCTTTCTATGAAATAAAAAATAGACTTAATCTAATAGCTACAAAAGGAGTTACGAGCCAAATACTACAGCGAGGTTATGCTGTCAGAATTTTTCCAGCATAAAGAGATCAGATTCTGTTGGTGCTTGATTATGCACAAAATCAAGATTGAAACTATAGAAACACTCCCAAAATTGAAAATCCTAAATGATTGGAGTTAACCCAATTCAAATCAACAATGCAAAGATAAGCAATATGGCTAATTTCTTATCCAAAAGTGCTGGAAAGTGGTGGCCTCCCTGTATACTACTGAAGAACTCCACATGGATTAGAAAATTGAGGGATAACAGTAACAAGATTTGGGTTTTTCATCGTTATTTGAGAATCATAAAGTCATAAATCTCTAACCTTTGCTAGGAGAAGAAAGAAAAGTGCCAACTTTCACCTAGTCCTTAGTGAAAAGAGGCTTGGCACAAGCTAGGGATTGTGGAGGAAAATTTTGGGTGAGAACTACAAAAGATTCACGCAAGAGGCAAGGAGTAAAAATGGAAGATGAGCCTTAACCCTTTTATATCACCAAATTTCACTTTTAAACTCTTTTCGGTTAGTGAATTTTAGCTATTAGGCCTAAAAATAATAATTTCTACCACAAAAATCCCTAACTTAAATTCTAAAATTTCAAAAAAATTTGGGATATTACAAAACCACAATGGTTGAATGATGGAATAAAAAAGTAAAAACAGTTAAGAAATTGCAATGGTCGAATAATTGAACAAGTTGAGTAAAAAGGGGTCCAAATGAGAGTAATTGTGGACAAGATGCTGGATGAAAGTAATGATTGAAAGATCTGGTAACAATAAAATAAATGCAATGTAGACAACTTTCACATATAAATAGGGCAAAATGAAATGAGATTAAGAAACTTCCTTGAACATATTGGACATTCTTACTTGGCAAGAGTCAAATATCATTTATGTTGTCCATTCATCGGCCTTCGATCCTCTCTATGCAGTAGCTCAATAGATTTACATTCATGGATACCCTATTGAATGCTAAAGGTAGAATCTCATTCATTTCCTATGAGGAGATATTTGAAAATATAGCCTCAATAAGTTGAACTTTCATTTGTTATTAGAGTTTCAACTAGCTTGGACCCTCCTTGGCTATCGAATTCAGTTTCTTTTCTCCTTGTAATCCTTATCCAACCTTTTAAATTTATCAAGAGATTTTTTATTAGAAAAACAATTATATTTAATTGAAATAAAGTATCATATTTAACTAGTATTCCTAATACTTAATGAAAGAGCAAGGTTGGAATAAATGCAAACAGAATGCTTACAAAGACCAATTTCATTAGATTCAAGTAAGGCTAGGATGATTAAAGGTAAACTTCATTTGGTGGCAAGAAGAAGTTTGACCAGTAATACAAGATCTTGATGCAACTCGTTACAAGGTATTCAAATCATAAATCATTGCTTTAGATGAACTTTTTCTTTACAACTTTGCTCATCAATCCTTTACTCTATGAGAGAGAATCTCATTCCTTTTCTAAATGTTGACACTTCAAATCTTTCCTTTTTCATGAACTAACTCTTGTGCTTAGAAGGACAAAATTCCCAACTGCCAATACCTGAAACCTTATTGTCTCCTTTTCCTTTTTTTTTTAATTTTTTTTTATGTCCTTTGATGGAGAAAGTTACAAACCCTTGGATAAGGACTCCATATAGGCTTGTAATGTGGCTTGAGGTTAGGCTATTATGAAAGAAAGGATGGGCACTCAAAATCCATATATTCCCCTCACATTTCTCTCTTCACTCCCTTGGTCATTGATGTGGATTAATAGAAAGAAAATTGTTTTGGCTTTTGTGAACTTGAATGATTACCTTTTTTTGGCTTAAAAGGGGTAAGCAAAAGGGCAACGTTAACTGTTTGGGATAGAGAAATGGGGCTTTTCATCATTGAATTTTCAACTTTCCAAGTCAAGGGAACATTTAATTTGTTAGGTTGTCTTTTCGGGTTTTCAACCTAACTCTCATTTTTTCTTTCTTTCTTTTTTTTAACAATAATACTTTTTGACAACATCGGCATTCACTAGATGATGATAATTAGTTCCATTTGGATATCTCAATAAGAGTGCTCCTCTAGAGGACGAGATCTCCTTGATGAAACACTCTAAATTTGACCTTCTTATTGTAAGCTGTTGTTATTTGTCGCTAATAAGATTGGCCATGACAAAAAGCTGCCAATCTTTTCTCATGAAGCAAGTTGAGATGGTCTATCCTTTTCTAAATCAAGTCTTATTCATCAATCCTTGACTCAGATAAGATTCTCATGGAAGAAATTTCTAGCTCAATTGGTAGTATTGCCTCCATTCCGTATACCAAAGGATAAGGGGTTGCCCCAGTTGAGGTGCAAACAAAGGTTCTATAAGCATGGAGAGCATATGGCAACATTTCATGCCAATCGTTGTAAGTGACTATCTTCTTAGCTAGAATCTTCTTAATATTCTCATTGGTAGCTTCTACCACACCATTCATCTTTGGTTGGTATGGAGAAGAGTTCATATGCTTGATCTTGAATTGCTTGCATAGCATAGTCATCATGTCATTGTTTAAATTGTTTGCGTTATCAGTAATGATGGCCTTTGGCTATTCGTATACAAATTTTTTGTGACACTAGCATAAGATGCTATTTCTACCCATTTGGTAAAGTCATCAATAGCAACCAAGATAAATTGATGACCATTGCCTCACATGGAGAATGGCCAAGGAGTGGACATATTGTATAGTAATGAAGGCGGAGCATTAATATGATCAACATAAATCTGACATTTGTGACAAGCTCGTGCATACTTAATGCAATCATGTTCCATAGTCAACCAATAATACTCAGCTTGGAGAATCTTTCTAGTAAGCATTCTTCCATTTGCATGTGTTCCACATATCCCTTCATGAACCTCAATCATGACTTGCCTTGCTTTCGTTTCATTGACACATCTCAACAAGGTCATGTCAGCAGGATGTTTATAAAGTGTATTTTTGCTCAAGTATGAAGCCGCAATTTTTCGATTGTCTTTTTGTTCACCTCAGAAGCATGAAGAAGATATTCCCCATTTTGTAAGAATTGCTTAATATCATGAAACCAAGGTTTGTCATCAACCTTGATTTCCATGCAATGTGCCGGTTCTTGGCTGATCTCAATCATCAAAGGCTTGATTGTGTCACCACTGGAGATTTGGATCATTGAGGCTAAAGTTGCTAGAGCATCCACAAATTGGTTCTTGGCATGGGGCATGTGATTTAAAGAGATGAATTTGAATTTTATAATGAGAGTTTCAAGGTATTTGTGGTAAGGAATAAGTTTTGGATCTTTGGTTTGCCAATCACCATTTGTTTGACAGATAATTAGTGTTGAATCACCATATATCTCCAAATCTCAAATATTCATCTCTAAAGCAACATGCATCCTGACAATACAAGCCTCATACTCAGCTATGTTATTGGTGTAAGCAAAATCAAGCTTTACAGCAATAGGAAAGTGATCACCCTTAAGGGATACCAACATGGTTTCAAAGCCACAACCAAGTTGATTAACAGCTCCATCAAAAAAGAGCTTCCTATTATCCGAATCTGATTTTGCCTTCACTACCAAAATCTCTTCATTAGGAAAATCTCAATCAATAAGCTCATAATCCTCTATTGCATGTTTGACTAAATGATCTACAATGGCTTGCCCTTTGATGGTTTTTTGTGTTGTGTAAACAATGTCAAATTTGAAAAGTAACATATGCAACCGAGAGATTCTTCCAAGGAGGGAGGGTTTTTCAAAAATGAATTTTATGGGATCCATTCTTGAAAGTAGGTAAGTGGTGTTGGTTAACATGTAGTAGTGAAGTTTCTTAGATGTCCAGGCTAAGGCACAACAAGTTTTTTCTAAGGCTAAGTATTTACTCTCACAAATCATTGAACTTCTTGCTCACATAATAAATGGATCTCTCTTTCCTACCTAAGTTGTCATGTTGGACAGGGATGGCTCCCATGGTTCTCTCAAGGACAGTGATATATAGGATAAAAGGCTTTTTATCATTTGGTGGTACAAGGATTGATGGGTTTTTAAGGTATTCTTTGATTTGGTTGAAGGCCTATTGGCATTGGTTATTCCAAGTATCAGGGTTGTCTTTTTTGAGGAGTTTGAAGATAAGTTCACAAATGGTGGTGAGGTTGGCAATGAAACGAGCAATGTAATTAATCCTTCCCAAGAAACTCTGGACTTCCTTTTGGGTTTTTGGTGGTGGCATTTCATCAATGACTTTTATTTTGGCTGGATTAGTCTCTATTCATTGGCAGTTCACAATAAAGCCAAGTAGCTTTCTCGTATCCACATCAAAATACATTTGGTAGGATTAAGCCTCATTTGATATCTTCTAAGGCATTCAAACAACTTCTTAAGATTTTCTGTATGTAGCACTTCTTCTTTAGACATAATCACTAAGTCATCAACAAATAGTTCAATAATGGTATGCACAAAGTCATGTAATAAAGTAATCACAAAGCGTTGGTATGTTGCCCAAGCATTTTTAAGTCCAAAAGGCATGACCTTGTGGCAAAAAGTACCCCAGTAAGTGATGAATGTTGTCTTAAGCTTATCTTCTTCCTTCATTTTTATCTGATTATACTCGAAGTTGTCATCAACAAAAGAGAACCAAGCATTTTTTAGCAACATTATCTAGCAGAATTTGAATATGAGGCTATGGAAAGTCATCCTTGGGGCTTCCTTTGTTTAAGGCCCTATAATCAACACAAACTCTAACTCGACCATCTTTTTTCATTACAAGAACAATATATAGCTACTTCAATGAAATTGACATCTAGTAGCTTTTGTAGTCCTTCCTTGACTTTGAATAGAATCTCTAGCTTCATCCTTTTTAGCATTTACTTGATTGGCTTCGCATCAAGGTAGAGTGGAATGGTATGAACAAAAATTTTAGGATCAAGTCTCGACATGTCTTTGTAGGACCAAGCAAAAACATCTTGGAATTCAGATAAGAGCTCTATCAACTCTTTTCTCTCCTCTGAAGATAAATGAGCATTGAGTTTTATTTCCTTTCTATCATTTTCAATGCCCACATTAATGGTTTTTGTCTCTTGATTTGGTTGTAGTTTGGCTTTTCCTCTTTTAGCATTTGAGTTAGTTCATGAGAAGGATCAAGATTTTCATTATCTTCTTCATTATAGATCTGATCATTAATCTCATATATAAAGTCTGACATGGCATAATTGTTTAAAGATTCATCATTAGTAGACTTGGAAATTTGAATGGAAGTAAATAAATGGCTAAATGATAATAAAACAAAGATAAGAACATATTATTGAATAACCTCATGAAATATATCATTAAAAGAGTGGTTTGTATAATGAAGGTTCAAGTAAAGTTGCATCATGGTGATTTTTTACGATGATAAGTGGGATTGCAACATGTTTTATTTAAAGGGAAAGCATGGGAATACTATGGGCATGATAACATAAATTTTAGAAAATATAAAGGTGCTTGTTGAATCCCTCCCTTCATGTAATCACAAGTAGAACTACTAGAAGGTTGACTCTTCTTACCTAGAGATGAAAATTGCAAGGAGAAGTTTTGCTATCCAATTAGCTTGAAAGTTTCCATGGACTAGAGAAATTCCCTTATCAAATTCTAGTCTTTCTTCATCTAGAGCATTTATAGTCAAATTTCCCCAAGAGTCATATAATGATTCTTCTTTCATTGATTCAAGAGGCACAAACTCATGTGAACCCGTTGGAGCTTTTGCATGATGAACAAGATGAAAGTCGGGGTGTTTATCTGTAAATGCCTTTTCAGCTAATATCCTCCTTCACCTTTTCTTAGGATCAGTCATGTTGGCCAACCCAAAGAGATTGTTGAAGCAATAACAGTTTTCCCCATCATTAGAACAAACCTCATTTGTAATATCTTCCACAACCATTTCCTTAAACTGTGCTTCTTTTGAACATTTTCCCACTTCAAGCAAGCAATTAAAGAAAACAATACCCTTTGGGTCTACATACAAAACATCCATATGCTTCACCTTATATCCATCAAGAGAAGAGCACAAAATTTTAGCAGGTCGGGGAAATGTGACTCTAATGTGTAGCGCCCATAATGGTTCATCTCTTAGATCTCTCCCTTGAGCTCTAGCCAGGCGCTTCTCCACTTTAATAACATGCATCCTTTGCAATCTTCCTTCTTCGGTTTGTATCCTAAACCAAAAGTGCCCCAAGTTTGAATTATCTCAATAGGCTCAAGAATTTCTTGTCCATTCAATCCCAAACCCTTTCCCAATTGATAATGACATAAAAGCATGATCCCTAGCTACAAATTTGGTAGGTTTGGACATTTCAGCCTTTCTTCCTTTGAATTTTGGATGAATATAAGAAGCAGTAGCACACTCCATCGAGTGATAAAAAGGTTCATAAGTTCCAAGTTCAACTCCCAATTAAGGGATGGTTGTAGCCTTTTGGATGACATGCTCCTCCTTGCCATTCACAATAACAAGGACATCATTGACAGTGTATTTGACCTTCTGATGCAAAGTGGATGGCATCGCTCCGAAGACATGTATCCAAGGCTTCCTAAGAAGCATATTAAAAGTAGAAGAAATATCCATAATGAAGAAATCCACATCAAAAGTCATAGGATCAATTTCCACTAGTAGCTCCATCTTTCCCACTACATCCCTTTTTGTTCTATCAAAAGCATGAACCATTATATTACATTGATTAATGTGAGACTCATCCACTTTCAATTGTTTCAAAACAGTCAAAGGGATCACCTTTAAGGCTGACCCATTATTAATCAACACAAGGCACGTTCATCATCTTACACTGAACAAAAATATGAAAAGCCTTGGTATGCCCATTTCCTTCATCAAGAATCTCATCATCAGTGAAATTAATATAATTTGGAGCCAAAATTGCCCTGACCATAGCTCCAAACTTTTGGGTATCAATGTTCTTAGGCACATGGGCCTTTTTCAAAACTCTAGGTAAGGTATCTTGATGAGCTTTAGATGACAATATCAATTATAACATAGAAATTTTTGTTGGAGTTTTATTGAACTGTTCAATGATGCTGTAGTCACTTTTCCTCAAAATATTTAGAAATTCAATAACTTATTTTTCTGACACTAGCTTTTTGGGTGATTCTTTTAGCATCTCTTCAATTATGATATCTTTAGACTTCAAGGTAACCCTTTTCAATTCCCTCACCTCGAGACTCATATAGAACCGACCACTACAGGTGATCATTAGTTGCACAATTCAAAATGACAAGATGCCGAGGCATAACCTTAAGTGAATAAGGAACATGGTTATTAGTCACAGATAATGTTTTTCCCATAGATGACTCACTAAGAGAGGTTTTCAAGACATAAGGTTGTTGCGAATTTTGACTGATGACTTGTGGCCTTTTAATATCTTGCAGAATGTAAGGCTTTTCCTTAGTGAAGCATTCCTCAATTGTTGGTGATATAAATTTCTCTGACTCTTAAGCAAACACAAACTTCAAAGATCCCATTGCTTGCAGCTCCTTAACCTTTCTTTGAAAACCTCCACACTCTTGCAAAGTATGCCCCTTCATATTAGAGTGGTAAGGACACACCAAATATCATCAATTATCACAGGTGAAACATTCAAACTCATTTATGCAATCGATTGAATCAAATCATACTTTGTCAAAATGGTAAACAATTCATCAAAGGACCAAGAACCAGCATTCTCCAACATGGGCTTCTTAACTTCATCAAAGGTGACTATATTAATTGTGCCTACCTCATGTGGAGGCAAAGGATTTTGAGTGATGTTTGGAGTACTCTTGGCTTCATTAACATCAAGTTGAAGTTTACCCTCATTGATGAGATCTTGAATTCTATGTTTCAAAGCTGCACAATATTCAATACCATGACTTGCCACATTATGGTATTCACATCTAGTTTGCGAATCATACCAATACCTATAAGGTGGCTAGATAGGGTTCGCTTGCATTGTCTTTATCAAACCCACTTCAACTACTTGTTTCAACACCTCATTGTAAGGGATTGGAAGCTTAGTAAACTATTTTGGTTGATTTGTGGGTAGGAATTGCTATTTGACGAAAGCTTGAGCACTAAAGTTTGGCCTCCTTTGAGAATAGGTGGTAGGCTTATAAGTTGGGGTGTATTGCAATTAAGGCTGTTGATTATACGGAATATTTGCCACATTATAAACTAGTTTGGCATGACTAGTGAAAATATGACT